AGTAAGGAATTATTAATTAATATCCATCGTAACATTTAAAATGTTAGGAGAATTTTGCTGAAAGAAAATGTTATTGTTTTTCCAGGTACATTCATATACAGATGATACCTGAAGAAGATACCTGACCCCCCAAGCCGATTTAGCCGACCTTTTAGTTCTGAGCACAAAAATGTTGCGAAAATTGTTAAACGAAGTTAATCGTAACCTGTGAGCCGTAAAATTTATTTCGGTATGACTCCCTGGTCGTCTCATTAGTGAATGACACTGCAAGAAAGTTTTTAAGCCAATTTGATCTTTAACGTTATAGTTCTTACTTAAATACAGAATAAAAATTTCAAATAGCCGTGGCCTAGCGGTATAAGGATTGCTTTGCAAGTTGAGGCAAGCATGGTTTGAGTCACATTAAAAATAAAATATTATTTAGCTATGACTATTTATTATTGTATTTTTTTTTGTTTTTGTCCTCTGGATAGGTGTAAGGAATGTCTAATTTTAATAATTCTGTTAAGTGTGGCATATTAAAATAAGAAAGAAAACTTTGAGAGTACTTAAAACTGAATAGATAAATGGGAACGAAACGTGGAACAATGCGTAATCACAGAAGACAAGATCGTATGCAAACTGCAGAGCGATTTCGTGATTTGAATTTATCCATACCCACGCTACGCTTTATTAATAATATCTACCTATCCCCACCTTAGGCAATTTCTAGTGAGCAAATATTGTGATTTGTCAACGTCAACATTAAAAAGTGAAACAATGCCGTAAAAATATAACGTTAAAATAAAATAGTGAACGTGGAATCGAACCACGGGTATTGTAACTGGCAGTACATACAACAAGCCGCTTTAATTTACTTGAATGTTAAATGAGGAAGTATAGTATTAGTTTTAAAAATATGTTGATTGTCTTCAAGCAACACTCCTTTGTATTGCTTATATAATAAAGTTTAAATTGCTTAATTTTTTTCTTTGTTCAATACGTAAGATGGCTCTCAGAACCAAAAGGTCGGTTTGGGAATGTTAGGGGGTCAGTTATCTCATGTATATAACTGTACATTAATAGTAGTCTGCTGGACTTCTGATGATGTGGTTCATGTAGTTCTCCAGTGCATGAAAGTTTCATAAGTTTTCGGGTACTTTGTTTATAGCCGAAAACCAGTTTTTCATAGCTGGCAATATTAGCTATGAAAAACTGGGTTTCTTGTTTTGAATTATACAGAGTATTATCTATTACTGTATTTTTGTTATCGCTCTTCTCACTAGAACTAATTTTCTAGTGAGAAGAGCGATAACAAAAATTACGAGGTATTTTTAATTCTCGCAATTACGAATACTGGGCAATTGGGTGTATGAGTTTTTCTGTTGCCTCTTTAATGAACTATGTATCATTAAATAGATTTAAAAGGTAATGAAACTATTTTTCTGGATATAAATTGCGTATATTTGTTTTTTCAAACAAACCAAAATAGAATTAAAAGTCTAGAGCAGCGTACAGTAATGGATTGTCATACTTACTTTGCAGGCCTTGGCCGGGAAGAAGTCACACGGACTATGAATGACAAACTTTCCGTGTTTGTTTTTTTAACGTACCTAATGAAAAGATGTTTTGAGAATCTATATTTATGCGCGTTCCTAGCGCTTGTGAAATAAGCCTATTTAATTACCACTAAATGATAGTTCACACTAAACACTGATAAAAACAGCACAAACAAACGCACTACAAACTCAGCGCTCTAAAAACATATACACAGAAATAACAACATATATCCCACTGCTAGGCACGGTCTCTTCTCTCTTACTTGGGTGTCTTCACTACTACCGAAGACAAATTGAAAATCGCTTGAGACGAAACTTTTTTAACATTGTAAAGCTCAGTGTATGAATTTAATAAATATTAATATCGATTTCATTCCCTAATGGACTTTCAATGCTGTTTTCATATTAAGGTTGAGATGAAGCCCCTTAAGGGAATTCTAAGTGTCTTTAGAATGATGTCCTTATGTGTTTAGAAATAGAGCATTCTAATCCTTACATTAGCTAGGAATGAGAAAGTTTTCCTTGGTTTTTCTAACAGAAAAGGCACTTAGATTAAGCTCTTTCTTAGTTTAAACATTTCCTAGAGCGTTTACTTCTTTATTTTCTTGCTTCAATTGTATTCTACAAAGGTACCCCAATTATTTTGAATGTAAACAAAAGAGTAGTGAAATTTGTCAATTTACAATAACATATCGAGTTCTTAGGTTTTCGCGATTGTTACACATAGGAAATGAAACTATTTTTGACTGTCAACCGTGACCATGGGACCTGTAAAGGGCCCGAAACGTCGCGTCGGTTTGTTTGAAAAAACAAATATACGCGATTTAAATCCGGAAAAATAGTTTCATTTCCTAAATTTACAATAAATTAAACTTTTTTAACCGACTTCAAAAAAAGGACGAGGTTCTCAATTAGACTCTTTTTTTGTGTGTATGTTACGCTATTACTTAGGGACTTGTAAACCGATTTCGATTATTCTTTTTTTGTTGGAAAGAGGGTACTTCAGTATTGGTCCCATTTAAATTTGAAGAAAATATTCCATCTCTAAGGGTGTCAAACTAGGGAATGAATCATGTTTCGCGCACTTTCCGTTAACCTATACAATTTGGCAAATAGATGTAATTCCACGAACTGTTGAGGTCGGTTTTTTTTATTAAAAAAGTAACAATTATTATTCTTCTTCGACGAATGCTTTTTAATTTCCTAATTATCAGTTTGTTATTGAAATACGCGTAATAATGATAATCCAATAATGGCATCTGAATGCGATTATGCCATAATGTGCCAGACCACCATACCACACCACACAAATTACCTGGTCTCAAACTAGGTAATTTCAGTACCAGAGACATGGAATTAACTTCAGAAAAGTTCATTTCCTAAATTGATTCTGCCGGAAATCGAAACAGGGTCCCTGTTTCGATTCCCGGCAGTTCCTACTCCAAAACGTCCACAGTGCAAGCCGTTGGGTCACCGAAATCGTCGAAGTAAAAACATTTTTTTAAATAAATCTAAGTGAGTGCACGAACAAGTTGTGCGCCTAATGATAAGCGACACACCTGTCCATAACAGTTGCAGTAACACTCAGAGCCACCATTTTATTTATGATATCAATTGACGGGACGAACAAGTCGTGTGCCTGGTAGTAAGCGACACGCCTATCCACAACAGTTGGAGTGCCATTCAGAGCTTTAAATCTAAAAGATCTGAGGGGCACTGCCACTGCGCGCTCACCCTAAGATATAAAGTCGATAATTCCTATGTGCCTGTATTTTCACAAGCACCCTTACCCAGCCGGAACGTAGTAATGCTTACAGAGATAGATATAGTGGCAGTAAAGACGAGATCTTTCACAAAGAGTTTTACTGCTGCTAAATTACTGGGTCTCTAACTAGGAAAGCCCTGTACTATAAGTACCTCCCGGGATATTACCCAGAACATCTAGACTAGAACCTGTTTAGAAAAGTTCATTTCCTAAATTGGTTTCTAAAGGCGATGCTGGGAAACTCTGAACATTTTCATTTAGTGCCCACACTGCTAATCACAGGCCCATCGAGATTCTTGTCTACTACTTGTTTATTTTGCGTCTATCTCTCGTGTACTCTGTTCCAACTTAAGTACAATTAATTGTCCCGCTTTCCCGTTAGCAATCTTTTTTAAACTAGGCCAAGGATAAAAAATGACAAAGAAAACATTGTTACAAAGAAGATTACTTCATGTTTTTTTTTTACTTTTTTATAAAAACTAACAAAAAAATGTAAAATCTACAGTAAAAATCGTATATTTCGTGTTTTTTTTTTCAACTACCATTTACGTTTAGCCTGGGTGGTTTGTTTTATTGTATAACCTTGTTAATTTTTTTCCATCTCAGTAAAAAAATTACAAGGACAGGACTCGATATTATTTTAATGCCAACTACTGATTTAAAAAATAATTTTATATTTAATAGTAACAATTTTAACTGCCTCTGTGGCCAAGCGGTTACCATGCTGAACTGACACGCAGAGGTCCCTTGTCCGATTCCCGAGTTAGGAGAAATATTACTACCCCCTACAGTTATTTCTTCCGTGAGTTTTAGTGTAGTTTGAGATTGTCCATGGCGATACAGGGTATCCCTAGTGTGAGGCTGTGAATATGAGCGTATATTATGATTATCATGCTCCCCACACATGCAAGCCGATTTACATAAAACATAGGCGCTACATTGAACACATAGGATTTAAAATATTTAAATTAGTAATTATGACATGTTAGGTACATTATTGTGATTAATAATACTAAGATTGAACACAAAGAAAAATTCCTTCCTCCTGACAGGACTTGAACCTATTGTCGGGTCGAAGAAATATTGCATTGTGTTCGATCTTTGTATTAATACTTATAACAAACTAGTGGAGTTGTTACACAAAAAATTGTACAGTGGTAAAAACATCGTGATTTAAAAACTCAATATCACATTATTTAAATTAAACAACGGTGCTATAAGAAAAAGAAAAGGCTTGTATTATAGTTATTTTATTCCTTACCTATTTCTGCCAGCGAGCAGTAACGCCCGCATTAGTTACGTAATAACTTTTTATTATTAATTATTATTTTTTATAATGTTATTAAGTAATCTGCGACTTTACTGCCTTCCGGTTTTGAAGGGTAAGTGGCAGTGCCCCTCAGATCTTTGCGATTTTAAGCTTAGCACACGACTGTTAAGGACAGTCGTGTCGCTTAGCACTCGGTATTCGGCTTGTCCGTCCCGTCACTTGACATCATAAAAAAAGTGTCGGACGAAGAAAAAACAATTGTCACGATATTTAATACAAAGCTGACTCTCGAAGGTTTCAGCAAATCCTCTACACGTAAATTTCATGAGTCAACCGTGATCATGGAGCCTGTAAAGGGCCCGAAACACTGGTTTGTTTGGAAATATATATATATAATGAATAATTTTATTTATTGAATACTTAACAGATACCACCAGGCAAGTTGGAAGGTTTGACCCTGAAGCTGTCAGTTTTGGACGCAGGACGAGTGGGGAAAGGCAAACAACTGATCGGCCACATCATCTTGCCCCTCAGCGAGCTTGAAGGAGTTGCCCCTGATGAAGAACCTCAGCTTTATAAAATGGACATTGAGAAGGTGAGATGAAACATAATTCATGAAATATCTATTGAATACTTTTTAGTGGCATAATTATTTCTGTAAACAAACACATATTTTACTCGACTTTACGTGTAAGACAAGACTACATAATTTGACAAGTTAGTTTTTGTTTATCTCTAATAAAGCTAATTGATCTGGTAACATTATTTACTTTTCATCACACACGCTTCTAAGTAGTAGTATAACGTGCAAAATAGGCGGTATTTTTATTATACGTATAATATAAAAGCAGTGGCTTTTGATTTTATTTATCATAACCTAACCTCCGGTTAAAAAACCGACCTCAAAAGTCATTCATCCCCTAGTTTGCCACCCTTAGAGGTAGAATATTTTCTTGAAATTTAAAAGGGACCACATCTGAGATAAGAATCATCAAAATTGTTCACAAATGGCGGAGTAATCGCGTAACATACATACAAAAAAAAAGTACAGACGAATTGAGAACCACCTCCTTTTTTCGAAATCGGTTAAAAATGAAAAAAGCTACACGCCTGTCCATGACAGTTGCAGTGCCACTCAGAGTTTTAAATTGCAAAGATCTGAGGGGCACTGCCACTGCGCTCGTCATCGTGAGACATAAGTTGACAAGTCCCATATGCCTGTAATTTCACCAGAACCCTCACCTTTCACAACAGGAAATAGTAATGCTGACATTACTGCTTGGCGGCAGAAATAGGTAAAGTGGCATTACTTCCCTGGACGAACTCTTTCACAAGGAGCTCTACTGGTACATAATCAATCAAAAATCAGCTGATGCTGTCACCGGAAGAGAAGCGGGAAAAACTGTTTTGTTCGTAGTTACTTTTTTGCATCCTCTGAGTAGTTACCATGACATACATAAATTTATTTATTTATTTTGTTTCATTCATACCTACAGTAAGCGCAAACAGTTTCAATGCTTAAAAAAGTTATGCGACGAAAACATTTTATGCCACACGGGCGGAACAAACGTACGGGCAATTAAATTTGAATCTCTCCCTCTGTACGTAATTGCCTACTAACCGCCCTTCTAATACAATGTACTATAGTTTTATACGTACATTATAATTTTACATTATATACGTTTTTAAACATTTGCAATGAATTATAATAAAATTACAACCAAGGATAAACGCGCTGACTGACAGGTCAGCCCTTGATGAAGACTTATGTAACTTTTCCCAAACGTAGGGATAATAGGTATACTATCTAATACTATCCTAACCTGTTCAACCAATAGTTAGGATAGTATTGGGTTGGCTGAAAAGTCCATACGGTTGATACCATATTTAATACTTTTATAATTACCCATTTTAGTCACTTATGTATTGACCAAGTTAATCTACATTCTTTTGTCATCTTTCCAGTAATTTTAGAATTTCACTTTCATTAAAATTCCTGTTATTACTTTATAAAATATAACCTAAAGTGATAATTAATGGTCTCTTTGTTATGAAAGTCATGTCTTTTCAAAAATTTTTGTAAAGATCGAAACAAGTGAAAATCTGAAGGGGTTATATCGGGCGAAAACGGTGCCCAATTTGATTGTAATACATAGAGCGCACTTTAAGTTTCCGGAACTGGCCACTTACATAAACAATATTTAAAAAGTAATTACAACATTTGAAAATGAAACTATTTGGCTGTAGAATTGAGTTTGTTTCACCTGACTGTCACATGTTTTTACATTGTGGCGTCATTTTAGAAATTGGTTGTCTACATCACCATGGATTTAACTCGTGAAATTTTTTGTAGTATGATTTTCTTCGACTTTAAGTGTAATGTAACAGTTCAGGAGAGTTTCGCTTGGCTTCAAACTGCTTTTGGCGATGAAGCACCATTCAAGATGACTATTTATAGCTGGTTTGCAGAATTCAAACGCGGTCGTGTGAATTTCAGTGACAAATTTCATGATGATCGCCAGTACACTGCTGTGAACAAGAAGAACATCAATGCTGTGCGCCGTATGATCAAAACAGACAAACATGTGACGTACCATGAGATTTGGGTATCTTTAGGCATAGGCATGAGTCAAATACAATCAATACTGCACAAACATTTGGGTGTGAAAAAGCTGTGCTCTCGGTGGATCCCACACAATTTGACTGAGGCTCAAAAAACGGATCGCGTCACTTGGTGCTATGCCATGCTTACCAGATTCAACGAAGGGGCGTCAAATTTAGTGTGGAACATAGTAACAGGTGACGAAACATGGATTTATAATTACGATCCCAAAACAAATATATAGCAATAGAGCGTATGGGTCTTTCAAGATGAGCCGAAACCAACCAAAGTGGCGCGCGTGCAAAGTGCCTCTAAGCGGATGATTGCTTCTTTTTTTAATAAAACTGGACACGTGGCTACTGTTGCTTTGGAGAATCGTTGTACCGTGAACAGTGATTGGTACACGACCATTTGTTTGCCGGAAGTTATTGACAAACTCCGTAAAAATAACCGTAAACGCCTTATCATCTTGCACCACGATAATGCCAGTTCTCACACGGCCAGACACCCAAATGAATTTTTTAAGGTGAACAATATTGACCATAAGTGCCATCCCGCAAACAGTCCCGACCAAGTACCTTGTGACTTTTATTTCCAAAAATTAAAAACCAGTTACGCGGTCAACGATTTTCATCACCTGTAGAGGCTGTCGAAGAGTATGAAAAATATGTTTCAGAGATTGTTACGGAGGAGTGGCATAAACGTTTTCAAAATTGGTTCATTCGTATGAAAAGTGCCTGAACGCTAACGGAGAATATTTTGAGAAACAATAAAGTCATTTCTGATCATTTATAATATTTTTTTTATTATTCATTCCGGAAACGGACGTGCACCCCACGTAGTTTTTGATGGCTTTGTAAAGATGTGTGTGGTTTGGCATTATTATGATGAAATACGACAACACCTATGCGACCACCAGTTTTTTTGGTGTTTTTCATGAATTGTAAACTTAAATCTTTCCCGCCTATCCTTAAAATGCGTGCTAAAATATTATTTTTAAAATGAGCATAGACAAAATAACATTTAAAAAGCAAAATGTGTTTTTTTAAGTTACCTAGTTTCAAAAACAATAAAGTAACAAAAACATAAAGACTAGTTCCTATAATATTTCTTTCGACTAGGAATGATAAAAAAATATAAAGAGACTGCATAATGGAAAATATAATAAATCTTTAATATTCCCTAGGATCTACAAGAGCTACCATCGGATTTGGGCGAAGTTCTCGTATCGCTCCTGTACAACGAGAACCTTCATCGGCTCACAGTCACCGTGATTGAAGCCCGAGGCCTCAAGGTATCCTAATCACTTTCTAATTTCTTGAATTATTCATTATGCATAAATATTCTTACGACGTTTCGCTAACCTTTTGCATTTTCAAAATAAATTAGAAATTGCTTTTTGTAACAAATTTTAAGCTCCTGAATTTATGTAGATAATTCTGTATTAATTCCGATATTAAGTAAAATGGTTTAAAAATAAAGTTTCAAGGGCCCTTGTACACTCGAACGTTTGTGTCTTTACTATGATCGGATTTTTCAGATCGCCATGATTCACATGGCAAAGCTTTTTTTGCTATAGATGGTAGATATTGACATGTGAAATGTGTGTGTGTCAGTTGTACCTTCTGAATTTCCTGTTATATAAAAGATAGTCTATCATGGTAATAATTTGAAATAGATAATTTAGAGAAAAAATACTTTGTTAAGGGAACTACACACCTCTGTCGGCTATGTCATAAAAAATATTTTTGTAGCACTATAGAATGTTTTATTTTCTTTCCTTGGTCAACGTCGCCCGTTTGTCAGAACAAAATGTGTTATCCATATCTCGATGTTTTAGAGATAATTCTCTCTCTTTCTCTTTTATCCCATCCTATCAGATTTAATTATGGTGTTAATTATGTTTAAAATGTGTTTTTGAAAATTGATGGCACTCGTGTCCCCTACCTTTAAAGAGGTTGAATTATAATCATCAGCACGTGCGGCACGGCATCGTGTCCATACTAAACGTTATAATTTGACATTAAATTCGTGTATGAAAACATATTTTATCTTCTTCGACTTTTCGGACGTGTTGTAACGTCCATGGTCTCGAAGGGACTAAAGAGGCGGGTGTCAATATCTTCTAGCCGTGCGAGTTGTTCGAACTACCCGCACTTGGTTTTCGCTATTTATTTGTACACTAGGGTTGTTACTAAACCGACACACAACACTTACAATATCCGGTGGGGCTTTTTGAACACTTCAGCGTGCTTACAGGAGCTGCCAAGTAGCTTCCAACCCTAAGTCAAATGCTCAAACTTTGCTCTAGAAATTAGGTATCCAGTTGAATGTAAGACAAAAATATCGTGTTCATCATATGATCCATCACTTTGAATTTTCAAACTCCCGAGTGATCTATCACCTGACTGTGGTGTCATTAATCTACGTCGTCATTGATATTTTGCGTTTGTAAAGGACTTTTGCTGAATATATTTTTGGTCACAGGTATACCGTTTTTGACAAAATTGTGACCCCTTTTTCTAAACGCTAACGTAGAATCTAAAAATGCCAACACGAAACAAATGAACGGACAACTTTGTATCCACAAAGGATTTAAAAGAGCTTAAAATCGCATATAAAAACTAACTTTTTTTGAAATGTAAGAATTATTTATTTCTTATCTCCGGTGGCCATATCTCACGTTGGTTATAATACAAATAATTGTAACTTTTGAACATGGACATGCCTATAAAATTTGAAGATTTCCTTCGATTTTCATGGGATCCCCTCATCAGATTCTGACTTGGTGACAATGAAACCGCCACGAGAGTGCATCCTTTCAAACAAAAAAAGAATTTTCAAACTCGGCCACAATTGACGGAGATATCTGGAAACATACATACCGCCGAACGTATAACCTCCTCCTTTTTTCGAAGTCGATTGAAAATAAGAAATGTGCAATAAAATGTTCTTTTCTTAGAAATTTCTTTTAAAGTTCAACTAAATCGAAAAGTATAACAAAAATGTTCCAGAGTCGCTCACTCAATGTATACATCTTTCAGGCATCCAATATTTTGAATACTCGAATGTTTGTTTGGAAAAATAACTTTAGAAGTCGACTTTACACAAACTTTTTATTTCTATAACGAAGTTAATTTAAAAACTGCGGAGTGTTATGTAACATTAACTTTTCCTTTCATAGAAACTTGTTACGGTGACATAAAGTCCAATAAAAAATATGAATTCCGATTTCTGTTCAAAGATTAAGAAGCGCCCGTCTGTACTTATAATTAGAAGTATTTTGTTCGTTCGTTTGTATAGCTGTATATTTGCACATTTTCTATGATCATTCATTCACGTACATGGTCACTACAGGTTTGTAATCTAGTCACAATGTACGAAAACAGCTGCTCATGATAGATAAATTCTGCTAAAGCTTCATTAACACCCTTGACGTCATCATTACCTGAAAATAACTCACTGAGACACCTCTCCATCACGATATATACGAATACATTTCATGTACCTATATATAGTAGTAATATAAGATTATTATTTCTAGCTGGATCCATCGACCAGCAAGCGCGAGATGGCAGTTCGAGTGACGCAAGAACGTGCGTGCCGAGGTGTGCGCGCGCGCCGAACAGCAGCAGTCGAAGTCGCCGACGACGGCAGCGCCCTGGTGTCTGAGTGCTTCCACTTCAGGCTTAGAGCGGACGAGTTGCATACAACCAGCGTCACTGTGCAGGCTTTGCAACCACACTCGGTCTATGCTAAAGGTAAAAAAATATTTTATTTTACATATAACATTTTTGATAATTGGATTTTGCTGATTTTTATAGTACTTTGCTCAGCATAAACAATTTCATAAATGGTTGAACTACCCACTACTTATAATGAAACCACGTTTTTAAAATAAATATCTTAAGCATTGATTTAAACTTTCCAGATTTTCACACATTGTTTGATTTTGAATTCGGGACTTAATCATGTATAAAAACATGTTTTGTTTACCTCTTTGTGAAAAAGTTTGTCCAGGGAAGTACCAACATAGAAAAAAATACAAACAAGATGAGTAAGTCACTTGATGCTAGGTTCAATTCACATTGCCGCGGAACTGATTGAAAGCTAATTTTTATAGCGATAGCACAATTAACTTTATGTCAAATGTGTAAAGTGTAAGATACAGAAGCAGTAGAGCTCCTTGTGAAAGAGTTCGTCCAGGGAAGTACTGCCACCTTACCTATTTCTGCTGCCAAGCAATAATGTGAGCATTACTGTGCTCCAATTTTGAAGAGTAAAGGCGCTGGTGAAATTATAGGCACATAGGACTTTCCAACTTATATCTCGGGTGACAGGCGCTCACCTTTGCGACTTAAATTTCTGATCGGCACTGTTATGATCTGGCGTGACGCTTACCACCAGGCGCACGACTTATTCGTCCACTGGTGTCTGTTTATTTTTCTTTAATATTAGAATCTGCGTATATGAAATAACACTAAAGTAAATCGAAAATGTGATTAAAATTTCATTTCGAATCATCGATAGTATCGATGTTTCGAATAATGCAAATTAAATTATTCTACGGATGTTTTTCTTTCCAAGATCTGTCATTTATGTTAAACAAGGTTTAAAAATAAATCCACTGACAATGCAATTCGTGTTGTTGGATACTGAACTTTATAGGGTTTCGAATCAGACGTCAGCTCGCTAAAATGAAGAAGAATGCTATTTTATACGACATGGGTATAATATAAAAACTCTAGGAACGAGTAAGATTTTTTATGGTACGAAAAATTTGCTACGTATTGCAGAAATTTTAACAATTGTTAAAATTCATTTGAAAAATTTAGTCCAATGATTGTAATGAATAATTTATATATATATATTTTATTTTTACTTATTAATGTGTGGAGATAAATAAACGATATTATTATTATTATTATGATTATTATTATTATTATTATTGTAGATGTTTTTCCCTCTCAGCCTGTTGACTGGTTTTAACATTTTTATTATTATTATTATTATTATTATGATTATTATTATTATTATCGTATTTATTTTAAACTCTCGCCTCTCCCAAGGCCTAAAAGATTAATTTTGAATTTTTAAATGGGAGAGGCGGTATTTCCCGGCAATGGTTATTATTATTATTATTATTATTATTATTATTATTATTATTATTATAATGATGTTAAATAACATTTTTTTTTTGTGAAATTACGTTACCTGGTTGAGTCATAGATTAATTAATAGTTAGTAGTTGAGTAAAGGAAAAGCTTTCCTAAATTTTTCAGAGATACGACAATAAATCCGTTAAAACCAAGAGCTAGAGCTAGAGCATACGCACAGGCTGACTCGATCTGTAGCTCCGTTGGTAGAGCGGTCTCCCTGGTATGGCACAGACACAGTTTCGAGTCCTGTCTGATCAAAGAAATTTTTCTTTTTGATTGATCTTTGTATTAATAATTAATTTTTTTACGTATACACGGGTGCCATGGACACACACATAGACAACCACAAATGACAACCAAACTCTCGAGAGAAATAAATGTAGGCCGTACAAATATTTCTCTCGACCCGGGAATCAAACCCGAGAGCTCTGCGTGGCAGTCCAGCATAGTGACCGTTCGGCCACAGAGGCAGTTAAGTTTTTTATAACAAAAGTTTAGTTAATTATTAAATACTGTCAAATTCCGTCTGCTAAACTAAACTGTAATTAAATCTGATGACAACACCCATGTTTGTGTCTGAGCATAAATCCTTCATTATCCTATTTACGTTTAATAAACGTCAAGGAATTTCCTTTGCTTATTTAACATAAGACTCAGATGTTTAACTTAATTAGATGTAGGACATTTATTAGTTCAATTAAAATAAGAAACCCATATATATCCACACACCTCACACGAGGTAGATTATTTGTTTTTGTAGCCCTTTTAATGGGGTTACTACACTTATTTGTTAATGCTACAAGGTTGATTTTAATATATAGATTTTGATTTGATTTTAATCACCGTTGTAGCATTAAGTCATTCGCGCGCCGACGTGGTCGTTCGCGTACCGATGGGCCCGTTTGGGCGCCGCCGTCAAGATTTTTGAGACTATCATAAAAATCTGAAACAAAAAACATTACATAGTTCATGCAAAAATTGTCCCAAAAGCACAACGACGGAGCTTCTTGTATTACGTTTTGCTATTCTAAAGTTATGAAAATAAAATATACTGCTAACATTCGGTGACGCACCTTTTTGGACTCCAACGCTGGCATTCGGGCGTCGACTTGGGCAATCGAGCGCTGATGCTACCGTTTGGGCGTCGATGCGGCCATTCGCGCGTTAATGCTACCGTTCGTGCGTTGACGTGGCCATTTGGGTATCGACTCCGCTGATCAGCCGTCGTCAGCTGCATACGGACGCGATCGGAATTTCGTTGGAAGCAGATTTGTTGCCAACTTGTGTGAAGCCGCGTAGAATCGATGTGAAACGCACAACGTCTTTTTCGCTCTTACTTTCATTAACATAAAGCTTTTTCTGACCGGCTTAATGCGATTCTGCGTTAATAACTGGTGACTCCTTAATTGTATGACTTGACATGAAAAATTGGGCGTTTTCATTTTATCGTTGTATGAAAAAATATCGGTTACCCAATCCATAAAAAAACTCATAATCCCTAATATTTTGGTGTCCCAGAAGAAGTCCCCTTTTTCTGTTCCTATTATAATCTTGTATTTGTAAACATGTAGATATGTGTTATTGTCATTTTATCGTAGGCAATTTGGTAGCTAACAAGCTACTTTTGTCAGGAGTTGACTTTGTCAAGTTTATTCACGTAGTAAATTGAATCGATTGGCCTCAGGTGCTTGCACCTGACCTGATGGACCTTGGTCCATAGAATTGAGATCTTTTGTGCCGAGGATTATTTCTGAAAGTGCTGTATTGTGAATGTGTGGAGGTTAGGAATTCTATTATAAAATGTAATTTGATTGATAGTACGTATGATTAAAATGTAGCATATGTGGCAGTTATTATTACATGTGACTCATGTATTACCATAAAAGCAAATGATGTATTATGTTAATAACCACTTAAAATGTTAGTAAACAAAGGGGTCCTTATCCCCTAAAGGCATTTCTTACAATTAACCTTATGTAAAGGTTGTTGGTTCCAAAGTAGGCAATAAAAAATAACCAAATGAATGCTACTGATTCACTAATTATACAGATAAATTACTAATATCAAATATATCTACGACGACATATAAAATCTATAGTAAAAAACAGTATCTAGTCTGCAAAAGTGCGCTTCTAAATATTACATGAAAATTAGTACCGGCGTGGCTGCAGTGCCACTTTGGGGCCACTACAGCATTTCTATAAACGTCTAATTTGAAGGCATTTTTATAGGTAGTTTTATTTATTTGTAATTAGAAAATAAAGGTTATTAAGGTCCCTCCTTACAGCAAAGTTTTTTATTATGTAATATATGGAAAACAAATTTAGTAGGTACAACCATTAATGTTTATCCAACGGAAAAAATGTAATGATAACATTTATTTATTTCTCTCGCAAATTTGTTTTTTTAAACAGAGCGTACATAATATAAGCGTTGTAAGTACAAGAGCCATTAACTACAAAAGTCCCGTATTTTAGTACTCCTAACTGCTATTACACAATAGAAGAATTTTTAAATGATAAACAAATATAATCCCCCCGAGTTACAACTCCTACAACAGTAATGATAATTATTATAATAATTATGTTCATTATTTTATTGAAACTTTGATTTATTTTATTGAGACAATTAAATTCTAAATTTACATTTTTATTTTTCTTTACTACGTTGCTCATTGCGTTGCGTTTCTCATTTTTAAGTTTTTAGCTACACCTTGACATATACATGTATTGTAAATTTTATCATGTGTACTTTTACATGTTTGCTAATAAATAAAAACTGAAATATTAGGAATAATTTAACGATGTTGAACCGAATAGAACTCGAGTACAAATACTCATATAAACCACGAGGACTACTCAGCATATAGTAAAAAATCAGGATGGATAGGCGAAAAGGTCCCAGTGGCATTCAGGTTTCTTGAAGCATAGGTTAAATGATTTTACACGCTCTATCATATCACAGAAGAGACGCTGGAGAGCAAATACATTTTTTTTTAAATATCAAGTCACGGGACGAATAAGTCGTTCGCCTGATGGTAAGCTACATAAGCTGACAAGTCCCATGTGCCTGTAATTACACCAGCACCCTTATACCTTATAACCGGACCGCAATAATGCTAATATTACTGCTTGGAGGTAGAAAAAGGTAAGGTGGCAGTACTTCCCTGGACGAACTCTTTCACAAGGAGCTCTACTTCTACTAGAATATAATAAGAATAATAATGTTAAACGATATTGCTTTAGCGATTAGCACTGTGAGTGCCAGATGAGGCAATTTCCGGTAGGATCAACTCGAGAAAAAATTTTTTTGTACTTTACAGTGTGGAATTTCCAGACAGTACTTCGAAAACAATTTCGTTGCTCTGGTACTCACAGTACACATAATTATTTCCCTAATTTGACACCAATTGGTGTGGTTGTCTGGCATTTTTTTGTTTATTATTATAATTTATAGTAATTATGTATTATTGTTATTAAAAAGTGGATATATATTTTCGACTCTCGCCTCTGACATGGCCGAAAATATACATTTTTTATTTTATTATTATGTAAACAAGTCAAGGCCGGGAGAAATGTTTGTATGGCCTACATTTATTTCTCTCGTGAGTTTGGGTGTAATTTGTGATTGTCTATGTGTGTGTCCATGGCACTCGCGACACAGGGTATCCCTAGAGGGGTGTATGTTGAATGTGTGCTTTATTATTATTATTAATGAGCCTTTTTGAGAAATTGAGACCAGTTTGTACCAAGGCAACGGAATTCACTCTAGGATACTTCTCAAAATACCCAGACCAGAACCAATTTAGAAAAGTTCATTACCCAAATTGGTCCTACCGTGAATCGAACCCGAAACCTCCTTCATCCAGCGCCCCCAGTGCAAACCATTACAATTCCGTTGTTTCAAATCAGGTTATCTCTCTAGGGTAGGTGTTATTTTAAACTTTCACACACTAGAGAAAGACTGGCGAGATAAAACTTAGAAATTCATAGGACATAATAATATGAACTTCCAAAGTTTTATCTCCAACGACCAACCCAAATCTGCTTGGTCTATTGGGAAATCTACCACAGGTCCATTCATACGGAATATTCGCAAAGTAATACCATGAGCAGTCTCGCTTGTTACAGAAGTTAAATATTAATGTAGAGAAAACTTGCATAGGGTCGAGTGTGGTACACTCAGAACTCAGGTATATATATAACGCCAGTGTGTACAAGGTGACTTTTTTATGGGGTGTCTGCATTTACTTACAAATAAATGGACGACGGGTCTAATACAAAAACCACGAAAAAAATGTCCCAAGTCAACCTATTTAAACGTAGTGACATGTAAAGGAATATGAAAAAGCTAAAACGTTGAATTTAAATTGTAATGTCATCGCAGTACTGTCTAATTTTGCTTGCTTCGTTGTCAGTCGAACAAACGAAGACTAAAGCGTGAATGACGCTCTGTATACGATTTTAACGCCCTATAAGTTCGGACACTTTTTAGCGCGGACCCGACGTCCATATAATTGTAAGTCAATGGGTGTCTGTAATAAATATTTTTAACCTAACTCTAATTAAATACAATTTTATTTATAATAGAAATATTTTCATATGTTAGCGTGGTACATGTGCGTAGATAATAAAGCAAGTAAGCGGGTGTAGCCGCGTAGCGCGATAAGAATCTATTGTTTTGTAGTTGCTGATGACAATCCTAATATTATCCAGCGCAGTAAGTCTACAGAATTGCGAGGTTGATATTTTACTTTTTTTATGAAAATTGTTACCGTTACTAAGTCGAAAAATCCGAACAAATGATAAATCCGGATAAAATCTCGACGGATGGTAATGCTAATCATTATTCAATACTTTCACGTTACAAAGCATTCTGGTTTTTTTATTGGTTTAGGTATTTATTATAACACTTTGAAAGCCGCTGTGGGCGAGTTGTATTGCCGGAAAAATATTTTAGGCGTTTTGTTCGTATTAGCCCACGTGTAAATACAACGATAGATTAAAAAAAATAATAGGTATTGTATACTTAAATTGCTTAATTTTTTTTTCGGAATATGATGAGGACTGTTTTATATAAACCCGTCGTCATTGGTAGTTATGTATTTTATCGACCTGCATGAAGCAACAATTTTTTTTTTGGTATTTGAGGTTAGGTCAGTGAAATTACAGGCACATGGGCTTATATCAGTGTAACGGGCGCAATGGCGGCGCCCCTCAGATCATTGCGATTAGAAGCTTTGAGTTGTGACCTCTTTACATCGTCATCCCACCTTTTTGTATCACTTCTCTCCATTCGTATCGTATCGGTTTTTTCTTCTACTCGTATTTAAATTCAAAATGTTGAATTGTTCCATTTTACCTCGCATTCTGATTTTGTTTCTTTCCATCATCACTCTCTACCCGATACCTCTACCGATTTTATAACAGGATTTATTACCAATACCCTTTATCCTTTTGAACTCCCAAACGTTGAACTCACTAAGCGAGATCTGCGGTCTACCGAACATTCCGAGCGGTATCAGCAGCGGCACACGCTTTCACTAATGTGAAATGTGGATTGCAAGCTATATTACAATGTACAGAATTCCACCAGCGCTCTTCAGCAGCGCTTCTACAGAGTGCAATGTACAGACACGTCGCGTACCACCAGGCGCACGACTTCCTCGTCGCGTCGCTTAGTGTCATAAAACAATAGAATCATCTCCACGAAATCAGGAAATAAAAAAGTCAGCATTTACAAATATTTGGATACCCCTCTAAGACCTCGCCTTAAAGGAGAGCTTTACCTGGCAATGGAAAGCATATATAAATATATATTGTAAATAACATGAATATCTTCTGGCTATCAATAGTCATTAGTGCAGAGGAGAGCGGCTCTTTGTTGTGTACGGTTGATATTAAGTATATAATACAAGGTCGATGATCTCTTGTACATTTGTTTTCAATTCCAAGTCACTTACTACTATGGAGATAGGACTTTAAAGGAACGCATTCCGTATCTATTAAACAGCTTAGGCTAGGTTAAACATGAAACTAAAAAAAAAATGTTGAATGGCTATTAAGTCACATTTTTTGTTAAATAGTAATTTATAACTTTTAACCACACTAAATGTTAGTTTGTAACTTTTTCTTTATTGAGACTCGTTTAAATCCTGCAGTCAAACTGTATATACAGTTTTATAGGACTATGTTTAGCTAAGAAAATTGTACACTTTTTATACTCTGAAATAAAAAAAATGTATGTTGCAGATCGCCTTATCGGAAAATTTGTACTGGGCTCGTATATGTTTGCAAGAGGTCGTGCTCTACAACATTGGAACGCGGCCTTAGCGAGTCCTATGGAGCAAGTGAAGCAATGGCATCCTCTCACCAACTAAACCGACAACCCGGCCAATCAAACACGTACAACTGATCTACTGTAGACGTTTGTAGTAAATTTATTTTAAATTTAGCCGTATAACATCAGTGAGATTGTACTTTAATTAGGTGAAAAGTGATATTTTTTCGTTTTTCTATTTATCTAAATACAATATTTAAATCACAATATTGTGTAGAGTTAATTTATTTATATAAGTACAGAGCTCTGGCAGACCCAAAACGTCATGAATTTCCTTTAATTTATTCATCGTTGCTGGCCTTTTATGCATCTATTGCAGATTATTAAGGCGCCTTCATATTAGACACTTATAAAAGCGCTGAGTGGCACCATTGTGGCGCTGCAGCCTAATAAAACTAATTTTCATAAAATATTTAGGCGCAGTAAACAAATGAACTAAAAATTATTGAAGCGCCACAGTCGTGCCACTGTAGTGTTTCTACAAGCGTTTGAAGGTGCCCTTAAGCAACTTTTGTTCGTGGCTAAATAAAATATGCCTGTATGAGAGTGGCTGCCACGACCGCGTATTTGAGAAATTTGTGAATGATACTGGTGATTTTTAATTACGCTTTTATCTGGTAATCGCAAATTTATCTTAAAAAAATTATATATGTGTGTAACTATAAATAAACTAGAACCTTCAGAAATTTCTTTCTAATTACTTCATTGTCGGAATTAAGATTTACTATAATATTGAAAACAAAATCCAAAACAAGGTTTAAACATATCCACAAGTAGTAAAAAAGGAAACCAAAATAGATTTTTTACTAATATAAAAACTATAGCAACACCAATATTTTTGTATTTAACCTTTTACACATTTGAAATTTTAAGTCTTTATAATAAATTTTAACATTTTCCTATCCCACAATTTAGAAGGACATTACAAAAATTTTCTCAAATACTTGTGTATCTTGTCACTCTTGAAAAGCCCTAAGTAGGAGCTTTTGGTACACTTTGCTGTATGCTTCGTGAGGAAGGATGAAGCTAAACGCTTCGAGCCAAGGGGTGGCGAGTCAATGAGAAAAAATTAAGTGTGTACTCTTTTGTTCCAAATGATCTTTCTTTACATCAGATTATGTTACAGAAAGGTATGTCCTGTCGCACGAATTGTTCATCCCGTCACTCGGTAACATTAAAAGAAAGACTTGTAACTTATATGATACCAATTAAAAAAAAAATAATTTCATCAAAAATATTTTTGACATATTTTACTATTACAAGTGCAACTTTGAAACATCTGTTATCTGTTACGTGTTTGAAACTGACCTTTTGAAAATCTGATGGGCGGGAAACAATGTCGCCTTAGGGCGCTGCCACACGAAGCGTTGGGTCGGCGTTGCGACGATGACGTTGCGTTGTTACGTTGCGTTATAATACATACGAATCAGAACGACATGCCACATGGTGTGATGAAACTTAGTACTTTGAAATTATAGCGCTGCAAAGACGCAACGTCCTTCAGGCACGGCTGATGTCAAATATTTTTCATTTTCAGCGTTTATTAAATAAATTCAGCATAAGCATTATAAATTGTGCAGAATAAATCAATCCATTACCTATTGATAAATTTCAAAGCTCACGTTTTACGTCGTTAATCGTTTTTTTTTAGATTTATTACCTCTTTTTAATATTTAAAAAGTAGACAGAAGGTTTTAATAGTACGACGACAACAAGTACTTTATGAATACAAAAAATTATGTTCCTATAAACTTCCAGGAATCACGAATATCATAATTAATTTGAATGTGTCGGGAATGGTTACTATACCGTAAAATATTAAAAACACCACCGTATTGTCCATTTATCTTGATTTTCAACTTCAATTTCCACTATCTACGCAATTAATTATATTTTATAGTAGTATATGTGACTGTTACATAAAGAAACTCGTTAAAACACGAGTGTGGATTTATGAAACAACCCGACAGGCGAGTTTCATAAAAACATCACACGGGTGTTTTAATGCCTAATTATATACAGTTACATACACTGCTTTATCTATACATATGTTATAAGCTCTCTGTGATGTGTTCAGTAACCGCATGTCACGACTAGCGAAATGGCGGCAAATAAAACCTTTTCTCACGCATGTCACACAACCGTAGTTTTTATTTTTAATTCATAGACAAACTAGAATCGGCCCCAACGATCATATCCTTCGATATCAAGTAACGTGTGAAGTTGTCAAAATTGTCTGCTATTGACATTTCATTTCATATAAAACCTAATCTCGACTGATATTAGAATTGAGGGAAATCAAATTTTGTTTTCATAGATGTTCCAAATTTGAACGTAATAATAACATCGAATTCGATGTTACTCGTAATATGGAAGCAATAATACCATTTTCACAGATAAGAAATTTGTTTTAACAGAACAGTTTACCTATAAGCTGGTCGTAATTTGCGGTTTTTAAACACTTTATAGAGAGTTTATGACATGCATGTAAATAAAATATATTAAGTACACTTTTTAACCTACTTCTCATTTCCTGTATAGACAATGATATGTTACGTAGTAGCTGGAACTCTTTAATTCATCAAACAATTGTAAATAGGGTAGACCGAGGTAATCTTAACTATAAGAGTATTAAAACTGTTCAAATAAGTAAACTGATCATGTTTTACTATTTTTAGGGCTAGTACGATAAGACGCGACTTGCGCGAGAGCAACAGAAAGCGCTAGAGCGACATAAAGCCTCTCATAGAGACTCTATGCGTGAACAGCAGTATCTCGCACTTTGTCGCTCTTGCGTTAATCGCGCCCTATCGTGCTAGCCCTACTGCTACAAGGTGGAAATCTCTTTTTCTCATTTTTACGTAAATAGCTTTGATTGATTTCTTTATAGGACGATGTGTAAGTCACTTTTTAAATGGAGTTTTGAATAACCAACCCGTGACTTACCTGTCTAAATTTTGACATATATTTATTTTGACGTTGTTCAACTAAGTATCAGCGCGCTTAAATTATTGATTGGCCTTCCCGTATCATCGGTTTCATTTTTGTTTTAAGACGCCTTGTCCTATAAAGGATAAAGAACTTGTTGTATGTAACAAGACAGCGGCAACGTGTGACGACCCTTATTAAATACATGTGTGCACGCCCATGGCATATTATTTAAAATTGTCACATCTTGTTTAGTCTAAGTGTATTTGAATAAATATTACACTTTCAATGTTGTATTTCTAATTTTGTACTTTTTAATTTTTTGTATGTCGAATGTACGGCCGCACACAGTTATACTTATTTTGTGACTTGTCAACGTGTACACAAACGTGTTTCCTTAAATAAAATGATTGTGAAAAACACTTTAATAAATTATATTTCGTCGCTTCATTCTTTAGATATGTTTTCCTTTTATCCTGTATATAACATCTCTAATATCGATCGAACCTCACTCATGTTCGTTTGATCATTAATAGAGCACTGCAGTATTCGAAAACTAATTACGACGATAATTACAAACAAAATGTTGTAACAAAATTTTACATACTTTTTCTTCCTCTTGCATAATTACATTCAAATCACATATACCCACGCTACGGTGACGACAGATAAATATGTGTATGACGTAATAACCTCGTAGTTACAATTAACCCGGTCGACCTTATGAAAAAGTAGATATGGTCACAATGTACTCACCAGACAACGCACACTAAAATTTCTATCACAATATTAAAAAAACACAGTCATGCTCGTCAAATTTAGAGTAGGTACCTTTAAGCAATTGTAAACTTATGTATTTTGTGGTTTGTAATTACTCATAACTGGCAGCCTTTTAAGTCTTCTTGTAAATCATTAAATTGTACACGAATAAAATTATTTAGTCAAGACTCAAATTTACTGTCTTAGATAAATCTTAATGATAATTACATATTAAAAACATTATAAAGACATATTGATTAAGTTATAATAAACTACATTAAAATTTATAAATGTTTAAAACTATATTATATTGCCAATGTATTATTACTATTATACATTTACGTAGTATAATTTCGGAAAAATGTGCAACATAAAAATGATAATAAATGAATTTACGCCAAATTGGCGAAAATGTTTGTTTTATTTACCTCTCTTTTCCTTTTTTCCCTCTTTATTGTAATACTTTAGAAAAATCTTTTACCCACTTACCATATAATGCTTAGACTATTTTTCATCCTCTAAGATATAATGTCATCTCAAATATGTCAACAGTCGTACAATGAAAAATCGGTCACATTCGGAGAGGTAACATAGATACTAAATGGGATTGGTATTTTTTCAAAACATTTTTGCCGTATATCGTACACATGAGCGACGTCAAGAATGTGGAAATGGAGGCTTTCCTTAGTCACATATACTCCATTATAATAATGACTTTCCCACGCAACTCTACCTTCAATTAAATTTAATTCAATTTATTAACAGGATTTAGATTTCTTGCAATTGAAAGCAAATACTGTTGTAACTCTGAATAGTGGGATTGAGAAAACGTTCATATTTACCAATTATATACTAGATTATATTCTAGTTTATTCATTTAGTTTACATTTTGCAATTAGAAAGAAAATGAATCTGGTTGAAAAGACTTTTTCTTGGTGTAAACAGATTTATGCTACATGCTCCTTTAGATTAAAAACTGGCGTCGACGGGATAAGTAACCGGATACTGTCCGCTCTAAGAATACCTTATTTACAAAGCTGCTGTATTACTGGGATGTTTTACTAAACACCTTAACATATTTAAAACAGCGAAGCGGCTGAACCTACTTTTTTACAACTAGCATAGATTAAATTGCGACATTTTTTAACGCGTCTAGACCAAAAGTAAAATCTTGTGGATTTTCAAAATTGAAAACGCGCAAACTGTAAAATATTCTTATAATTTAAAACGACGGATCAATTCAATCTACTTTTTTTGCTGTGATTAATAAAAATTGGACGGCACGATATGCAAATTAGTTTCGCAGTGCGTGCAAATTGTTAAATAGCCGCCTACAGAGAAATAAATAAATAAATGTAAATGAAAGCGAACGACAATGAAAATATACAATCCCATTTTTGTCATCATCATCCTATCGCATTCTACTGCTGGACGTAGGCCTGTTACAACGTGCGCCATTTTGATAAGTACACAATGTGAGTCGTGTAGGGCTAGCGCATCAAGACGCGATTTGCGCGAGAGCGACATAATGCGCGGGATCTCTATGCGAGCAGTATCTCGCGCTTCATGTCGCTGTCGCTCCCTAGTGGTCACTACTATCGTGTCTTCGACAGATTCGGTTGACGACTGCCGTGGTCGAGTGGCTTGCATATAATTTTTCATGGCGTCGCTTTAGTTTTTTTTTTACTTTGGGTGTGTTGTACAGATTTATAATTATTAATAAGGACAGCCCACCGCCTCTTCAGCTGGCTTATATACTATCAGCCGATGACCTCAGTAGTCTACCATTTTTGTAGGAAATATCCATTGGAATCATAAATAATACTACATGGTGGCAAAATAGACACCTCACTAAAGTGCATGTACAAGTTCGTAAAGTTCCGTATATTGTCAAAAACCTATGAAGTAGAATAATTTCCATCAATTCTGATACTATTTTTTCGATAAATCCTTGTATACTAGGTTTTAAATAAAACATGGCACTATTTTAAAGTACTTTATTGTCGAGGAAGGAAACATAGACAGTTATTACCTAAACAAAATAATTAATTAAAATTATATAGATAGTGACTATATAGAATATTCTCTACCAGTTTAAAGAAAACTAAAAAAATAAAAACTACCATTATTTATTTTTAAATACAATTATGACTTTCTGAAGTCATTCCCTCCACCATATTATCGTCTAAGCGAAAATCTGTAGTCTTATTTAGTATCTATATAAAAATGAGAGAAAATCAAATACTTTAAGAGTTTACACTACCTCAAAGGGTTTTAATTGATTCCGCATAACAGAGTGTTGAATCAGTCAGTCACTTTGGAAAAAATATCTGATCACAAAGTGGTGTGAAAACACGATTCGTAAAAATTTTCACGACAGAAAAAACAAACTTCGAAATTTTACAAAACCACTATATCGATGCGTTCCTTTATCAAACGCGTATCTTATAAGGAGTGATTATTCAAAAGAAGTGAAATTTTCTATTTATTTTAAATTTCTTATCAAGGGTGTTAATTTAGATGCCTTACTTTAAGAATAGGTAAAAGCCAGTGTGAATATGAAGGATATGTGATGTGGAAGCAGCCTGCAAAATTTGTATATACAATTTTTGCATTTCAGTAACTTTGTGATACAAGTAACTTCAAGATACGAGTTTGAGAAAGTAAGGCGACGATATTCAGTAGGTACTTTACATATACCAATGTTTTTTTTTATATCAACTGAACTAAATAGCACACGTATACTATATACATTTTTGAAACGACCTGAACTAAAATAGCACACGTATACTATATACATTTTTGAAACGACTTTAATTTAGTTTGTAAAAAAATAAATTCTGAAATAAATCCAGTGTGTCCCTGCCGCTCGGCCCAAGCAAAATGAATCGTTTTAGTACGGGAGAAATATGACTTCGAACTGAGGTAGTATCGACTCTTAAGGAGTCATCACACTTATCTAAAAAAAGTTTTATGTACATGTAATAGCAACGAATAAGACGTGCCTTCTGCATCGGCAATCCGAACGGAAGCGGAAACCCGCAACATCTTTTTTGCTCTTATTTTAGGATTATAAACCTTTTTATAACCGGCTCAAACAGATTCCGCGTTAACTCTTGGCATGATGGCGTTAATGTCGGGATGTTTTTGGACAGTGTAGCGCAATAATGCAAAAATGCATTTTCGCATGAAACTCAGAAAAATGCATACAATTCTGATTAGGTTTCAATTTTACAATGCAAATCATATATCCCTGTTTTCTTCGTGAGTAGCCCTATCCGAATATCATAAAATATTCTAATTAATAATAAAAATTTACCTGATGCAGTTCTTATGCGATGAATTTATTTTGTAAATTTTTCTTGCGCCTTCATTAACAAGTTATGGACATCACAGCTTACCATCAGGCGCACGACTTGTTCGTCCCAGCACTTGATGTTATAAAAAAAGGTCGTTGCCTTTGATGAACAGGGTATCAATTCAAAAATCGAGATCTTTGTGATGAACAAGGTCTTATAATGATCCGACATGAAATGGCGCGGGAGGCAGGGTAGTATGTCTGAACTTTTTGCACGTTTTGGCCCCAAACATTGGCCCCGTCGTATTCAGTATTACACACTATATTACAGTTGTAGTCGTTAAGACGTCGTCGCCCTTTGAACAGGGTATAAAAACTAAAACACAGCGTGTGTTCATCATTAGGTAAGTGTATTTTATAAATATTTATTTCTAAATTGAAGACGATTATTTCAAGGGTTCTTTTTTGGTACATTTTTTCATTGAATTATTATTTTCATTGAATAGTATAGTGTAATTTTTTGAGATATTACCCTGTTACTTAAAGTTTTATTTAATTGAATATTATTCATTATTTCATTTAAAAGTATTAAGCATTAATAGTTTAGTTCAAACTTTGAATCACAATAATACTTGTTCAAAAGGGTAATATTATATAGACTTATCTGAATAATTTCAGGATTTTGTGAATAACATAATAATAATAATAATATCGCACACACTTAACATAGCCCCGTACTGGGGAAACCCTGTGTCGCAGGTGCCATGGACACACACATAGACTACCACAAATTACACCCAAACTCACGAGAGAAATAAATGTACGCCTACAAATATATATAATAGGACGAACGAAGTCTAGTGATCCCCTTAATCAATAGTTCGCTTTTTCTTAACCTTTGACATAGTGTTCTAGATATACATGTTCTAACTGACCATTTCGTTCTGGGTAGATAAGTGCGAAGAAAAGTGTCAACCAAATTTAACCTTTAACCTGTGAGCTGTAAAATCCATTTTGGTTATTACATCATTAGTGAATGATATTTTAAGAAACATTTTAATTCAATTTGATCTTTAACGTATACTTACTTAAATACAGCGTACAAATTTCAACCTTAAATGCGTAACAAGACTCTCAGAACCACAAGGTCAGGTATCTTAGGATATCGACTGTACAATGGTACTGGTTCAGTTCGAAACTCTGTTCACTTCAATATAAAATTAGGTACATTTTAGAAAGATTAAGATTAACATATCAAATTGCACATAGGTGTTTTTAATATTGTGGGAAGTATATTTAACCTTTTGTTTTAGATGGTGGCTTTGGTGGTTCACACTTTGTTGGTGGTTTAATATCAGCTTTTTGAATCACATACTTGACACCATCTTCAATATTTTTGACTAAGATGGGGACTGCTTCCTGAAGTTGTTTACCTTCGTATGCATTTAATTTGCCGTATCCAAGATTTCTTTCTATTCCATAACGACCAAGGACGAGAGGATTTGCGAAGTAAGCTGCATCGGTAGCGCACGATCTCACATACGCGCATTCTATTACTGGCTCACCCTGGAAACCAACACACAAAAAAATACAAACAAGATGAGTAAGTCACTTGACGCTAGGTTCAATTTACATTGCCGCGGAACTGATTGAAAGCTAATTTTTATAGCGATAGCACAATGAACTTTATGTCATGTGTGTAAAGTGTAAGATATAGAAGCAGTGGAGCTCCTTGTGAAAGAGTTCGTCCAGGGCAGTACTGCCATCTTACCTATTTCTGCTGCCAAATTGTAATGTGAGCATTACTGCATTCCTGTTTTGAAGCGTAAGGGAGCTGGTGAAATTACTGGTACAAGGGACTTGTCAACCTATATCTCAGGGTGTCGGGCGCAGTGGCAATGCCCCGCAGAGCTCTGTGATTGAAAACTGAGAGGTACTACAACTGTTATGGACAGGCGTGCGGCTTACCATTGGTCGTACGACTTGTTCGTCCACACACGTAGTTTTTATATAAAAAAATGTTTTTACTTCGACAATCTCGGTGACCAAACGGTTTGCACTGTGGAGGTTGGATAAGGAGGAGTTCCCTGTTTCGATTCCCGAGCAGGATCAATGTAGGAAATGAATTTTTGTTGGAATGTGAGCATTACTGCGTTTAAGGTTTGTAGGATTAAAGTGCTGGCGAAATTACAGGTACATGGGAGTTGTCAACTTATGTTACGGTGTTAGGTGACAGGCGTAGTAAAGTTCTGAAAGGCACTGCAACTGATATGGGCAGGCGCGTCACATACCACCAGGCGCACAACTTGTTCGTCCTGTCACTTGATATTATAAAAAATTATAATAAGAATAATAAATAAAAAGATGTTCGCTAAAAAAAGGTCGCACGTCTTCCAAATAATTGTCGCGAAGTTGCGGAATTCTTGCAACTACGGTATCGTAATTAGTTTGTACGTTATAAAATTGCGCGGCATTGTATTACGTCGATTTGTACTTGAATAAAGCTATTCAGTTTATTTACAATTATGAAATAACGTTCTTATAAAAATAAAGTTTTATATTTACCGATAACCCTTTCAATAGAGATCTAACAAAGCGAGCTGCGGCAAAAGCCATGGAAAGGGTTGCGGAGCCTTCACCTGCCTTTGCTTTTACGACCTAGGACAGGAAATATGATAATTATTAGAACGATAAATGGAGATATTAGGTACGAGGGCAGTACGTTTAATAGTGGATGTAAACAAAGTGGCGGGTTAAAACCATAGTAGAATAAGACCAAGTAAGGTACGTCTATATATGTTTTTGTATGCGGACACGCTTGCCGCGCGCCGTATGCGGATGTACACAATCACATAATCTCGCAGTGAATTGAATTGAACTTTAAATGTCTTTATAAAAAAAAGCAATTGAAAAATAAACCTATTTTAAATTTGTAATCTTACATGAGGTTTATCGTTATTTAGGCCGACTCATCTTTTTGGACATTTAAACGCAATACGTATTATTGTGATATTTTACAGTGAGGATATTAAACTTTTTATTTGTTTAGTTCCGTGAATTGTATTCCTGTGTGCTTTTGTGTCAGCAACACCTACAATAAGAATGAGAAGATAGGTAGAAAGCGACTCAGTCGAAATACATATTTGTATAAAACCATTACATTAAACAAAATTAATATTGTGTGAACACAAGAATTTGAACCCATCGGTTACCGGTAGGCCGGTCCGCCGGTAGGTAAGTAATATTAGTCAAGGACGAAACAGTGATGGGGTAATTTATATCTATTACAAGTATTCGCGTACGAAAGTGTATTTAAACTAGTTTTACCTATTGAAGCAATCAAGGAATTTTGGTGGTACGGATTTTTGTGTAAATAAAACCAACGGGATAATTTAAGCACAAATTCTTTTAGTAATGAGTCAATCAGATCAATTTACTATGCAGTTCTTTTACCTTAGTTTTGAAAGGTGTATTATAATTAATTTTTAAGGATATATTTTGTACCACTCGTAGTTTATTGTATTTAGTGTCTGCTGGACTGCTCCAAACAGGAGCGGCGTAAGTTAGACAGGGCAGGATAAGGATAGAATTAAGCGCAATTTATTGTGTAGACTTAATTTAGATTTGCGGTTGAGGATATGCCATAGCGCATTAGTAGCCTTGAGACCCTTTGTAACATGATGCTCTGTATTTAGGGACCAATTTACTTTGCAGTCTAATGTAGTTTCTTGATATTTGACACTTCTGTTCCGTCGTATTGGCTAATTGTCTATTGTGACTTGCCTCTTTGGTAGTGGCTTTGCGAGTGGCTTTCATTTTATTTGATTTCAACATTAATTTCCTATAAGAAATATTCGCTGAGTAAGTCGACTGATAACTGTAAACGACCAATGCAATGTACGATACCCTCTGAGGAGGATGTTGCTCTGGCATCGGGATAATGATGAATGAAAAATCGCCAGGTGAGTGTGAGAGTATTTAGGGATGTCATTAAGATAAAGAATGAAAAGGTAAGGTTCAAAGATGGAACCTTGAGGTACTCCAGCGGGAACATTTTTGGCAGAGAAAGAATGTTTGTATTTGTTTGTCAACAAACACCGAAAAAGAACGTTGAGACAGGTAAGATTGTATTCATTTTACAAGGCATAATGGAATTTGATTTACTACAACTTTATGAAGAAGCCCTGTGTGCGATACGGTGCCAAAAGCTTTTTTTATGTCCAATAAGATCATGCCTGTTGACATTTTCTGATTAAGGCAATATGCAACGTGCTCAGAACGTTTTTCTTTAATATTAATATGTAAGTATTGCATTTGACACTGTGATGAATACCTTTTTTTTAAAAAATATGTTTACTGTCGTAGCTACAGCTAAAATAATAATGTGATAAACCTACGCTCCGATAGAAGTGTTGGCATGCGCCAAACAGGCGGGAGTTGCCTTACTTGGTTTTATTATACTATGTCAAAACTAATAATAACAAGTTTAAAAGTCACCTCAGTTCCAGCCTCTTGAATGCGAACCGTGAGTTTTTGAATATCTTCCTGGGTCATTGAAGGCAATGGGGGTCTGCTCTGACTCAGCAATGGGACTATGGTCTTCCCCGCATGACCGCCAATAACGGGAATATCTAAATATGACGGGTCTGCGCAAGAGATTTGACCAGCAAATGTCGATGCGCGAACTAAGTCAAGTGTTGTAACACCGAATATCTTACAAGGATCGTAACATCCGCACTGAAATTCCAAGAAAACACATCAAAGATATAAGTTTAAGAAATTGTCTTCATGAAGTGAAATTTAATAGTGGCTTCTACCACCTGCGCTCTGATAGTGCAGCAACTTCGTTAGTGTCGCATCTACGGGATTATAGACGTTAGCGAGAACGAGGTAACAGGATGCGCAATTTTACTGCTACACGTGGTCAATAGAACTCCTTCCGTCTTAAGATTTATAGTCCGTATTTGTGATAAATAATGTTTAAAAAAACAATAATAATAAAATAATCATAATATAAATTGTATAACTGATGAATAGATTTTTTCAAAGGTTCTGATTAAGAATGGCAATAACATAATGATATCGTTACATATTTTCTTGTATTTATGTTAATTGCATGAGGTACTCATCTATAAATTAGTTACACAATTAAACTAAGTTTTTGAAGAGTATTAATAGTGGTGTGCCTAATAAATAAATTTAAAAAATTGCATAAATATAAAATACTTTTTATTTCGAGTTCTTAGGTTTTCGCGATTACTAGACATTTTAATTTAGTTTAAGTTTAATTTCCTAAACTATTTTTCCGGATTTAAATGGCGTATATTTGTTTTTTCAAACAGTCAACCAACTTACAAGACAGCCGCTGTATTCAATAAGTACTTTACATATACCAATGTTTTTTTTTAATATCAACTGAACCAAATAGAACACGTATAGTATATGATATACATTTTTGAAATGGCTTTCAATTCATTTATAAAAAAATTAAATTATGAAATGAAGCCAGTGTTCTTACCGCTCGACCCAAGCAAAATGAACCGTATTAGTACGGGAAAAAATTGAATTCGAGCTGAGGTAGTATCGACTCATAAAGGCAGTCCATAGAAAAAAGTTGACTTCTAATAAACCCGATTTCTGTGATCTTAAACTTCGGACATTATTAGTATCAAGAAGTTAACTTTATATGCATATATGAATTAACCTTACGTCTAACCATATTAACACGTTCCGTGGTGGGTCAAAATGACCGGCATCTCATCCCTTTCGGCGGTTTAGGGCTACAATGAATCAATAAAAATTAAAAAGGACCATTTCTTGAATTGCCCACTTCTTGAATTCATCACTTCTTGAATTGACCACTTCTTGAATTGACCACTTCTTAAATTGACCACTTCTTGAAATTACCATTTTATTTTTTAGTTATAAATTGGTTTTTTTACTATTTTTAGACCCTCAATAGAGTTTAGGACCATGCCCAGACATTTATCTAACCTAAAAATGTTTGAAATGTTTTACATGCCTGTTTTTGTCAAATGGTTGCGAAATCCAGTTGCGATGGACGGAGAGACGTTATCTTCCAGGCGATAATAAGCAATATCTAATGTATACTTAAAGGTCCATTGTCAAACTTGTAATAATGTTCTTAATTAAGATGTTCTTAATTAAATAATTAAGACGTTTGGCAAAACCGAGCAGATGCCGTCTCGTCGGAGAGATGGAGGAGCGAAGAGTCTCCAGGACATCATTACATTGTTCAAGGAGACCGACCCAGACGACGTGCCTGCATTCGTGGCGAAGGAGCTGCATAAGCTGCCCCCTGTCACGTTCGACCACGTCGACGTCACCAGGCTGCTGAAGGACATCACGTCCCTAAAAGTAAGCCTTGCTGATGTTCAGTGTAAATTGGAGGCCTCAGACAACACCATCAGTGAGTTGCGTGCCCAAGTTGTATTACTTAGTAGTGCGGCTTCGGTAAGTAGGTCACCTGAGGCCTGCAACGTGAATACTTGTCGCGGGGCGCAAAATGCTTCTTTCAGCAGTTTTGAGTCGGCTCACATGCATGTGTCACCGACCTCTGGCGCTGTTGCCGCGCGCGTTTCCCCGCACCCCGCCCCGCCGGAGACGACCCCTCCACGTGATTACGCAGCTGTTGCCGCTGCCCGACCTAGCACTCCACAACCACAACCCAGGCAACCAATGAAGGGAAAATCGAAAAAGAAACTCGTATCTGGAGCTGCGTCGTCAGTACCACCGAGACGAGTTGATCAGTGCGACGAGGACGGCTTTCGGAAGGTGGAAAAGAAAAAGAAGAACACCAGCCGAAACCTTAGTGGCACCGCCCTGACTGGCCCGAATCATTTATTGCGTCCAGCGATACCGACGACGTTGTTATACGTGTCACGTCTTCATTACTCCACCAAGTCTGCGGATATTGTGGAGTACATGCGAGTGAAGGCCAACGCAAACCTGAGGGTCGAGCGGTTGGAGTCGCGCCACAATGTGAATTTTAATTCATTTGTGGTGCGAGTACCAACTCAACACCTGTCGACCTTCATGAGAGAAGACTTTTGGCCGAAGGGTGTCATGTACCGGCGTTTCCGAGGACGGCTTCCGGACACCCACGTTGCGTCACACGTCGAAGTACATACGTGTAAATAAATAGTGTTATATGTATATTATCATGTTATATTGTATTTAAGGTATTTATTTAATATTTCTGTTATTGTTTTATTATATTATTGTTATATTATATGTATGTTAGTCTGTAAGATATGTATCTATGGGTCCTAGTTGCCTGAAATAAATAAATAAATAAAAAAAAAAATAAAAAAAAAAATTAATCCGAAGCCGAAACACACTGAATTGTAAAAGTGGTCAATGCAAGAAGTAGTCATTTCAAGAAATGCTCTTTTGTAGAAGTAGCATTTAAGGAAATGGTAATTTCAAGAAGTGGTCATTAGTAGAAGTCGTTATTTGAAGTTGTTGTCATTTCTCAGGGTGGTCCTAAACCACCGAAAGGATCTCATCCACATATTAGGGCCGTGAGGGGAAATGACCGGTACGATACATCAAATTTTACGATGCGCGTTCACGCCGCAGGTGGCAAACGGATACGGATTTAGTCCATAGATTTAGTATGGGTACCTCTACACTAAATCTATAATTTAACCCTATAACATGACCGGCAGGGTCCTGGCGAACTTTTCAAGACTTTGAGGGAAAAATATATTTCGAATCTAAAAAATTTACTTTAATTTCAAATTGAATATAAAACATACCAAAAAAATTATAAGCCGATGTCGAAACGAACGTGTTAATGAATCAATCATTTGATGACAGCGTTTTTTCAGAAGTACTTAAAATTTCAATAATGAAATCGATCCATAAATAACAGATTTTTTTGTAACATCTAGAGAAATGAAATTTGGTGAATCTTACCCTCATTAGCACTTCAGAAAACACTGGCACCATAGAGTTTAATGGATTAGTGACAATGGCCACCAAAGCACATGGACTGAAACAAGCAACAGCGCAAGCAAATCCATAGACGACTGCGGCATTGGCACCGAAAAGATCTTCTCGAGACATTCCTGGTTTACGAGGCATACCAGCAGTAATTACTACGACGTTGCATCCTATTAAGATAAGATTAATTAGTTTTGAATTTGCTACAACCTAAGCCAATATGGACCTCAAGTCTTCTAACTTTCTTGAAACCACTGGTTAATGTAATTCCACTTAGAGATAAACCGAGATTACATTGTAATAATGATAATATTTGTTCTCGGTCGTGTATTCTGTTAAAATCGAGATGGAATGGTAGTTGCGAGTGTCAGTGGAATGGCAGTGATGGCATTCCTTCATTAAATCAATAACGATCGATGTTGCCCTAATAGAACTACTACTCGTTTGTCTCGTAATCGGCAATTTTATTTAAATTTATATTGAATAGATATCCAATTATTTTAATTATTAATACAAAGATCGAACACTTAGAAAAAATCCTTCGAACAGGCCGGATTCGAACCGACGACTTCTAGCATACCGTGCCAGAAGCTATACCAACTAAGCAACGGAACTTAATTTCAATTTATATTGAATATCAATTCAATATAAATTGAAGTGAATAGCGACATCTCTCCGGGGCTGGTAGCTGTAAAGGTATCTAACTGGGTGACGAAATACTTTCATAGATTTCTTTTAGATGGCGCTACGGGTAAAAAGGCGTAGAAAAATCAAATACAAAGACACGACAACAAAACACATAGAAAAATTCGTGAGCTTCGCTGGTTCGTTCCGTGTCTTAGTTGGTATAGCGTCTGGCACGGTATGCTAGAAGACGTAAGTTCGAATCCGGCCGGATTGAAGGATTTTTTCTGAGTGTTCGATCTTTGTATTAATAATTATTACAAACCAGCAATTTTATGTCACATAAATTAGTAGATTATTGAAGAGCAGAATACCAAAAAAATTGCAATGGCATTTGAATAGTAGTTCGATGGCTAGTTACTGACAAGTTACTGCTCTTAACTTTTGCCAGGATAGTTGACAATAAGAAGTTTTAAAGTCAGGAGACTTGGAGCCTAGTTTTCTGCTTAGACATACGCTGGAATATATAAGCTGAAATGGAACAGTAAAAAAAAATCAACTAAACATGCACTAATATGAAAAAGTATTAGGTTGTAAACTAACTACATCTATTATTAGTAAGTTTCGTGAAATTAAAAACAGAATACTAAGAAAAAAGTGATCTTTGTATATTACCACAAAGCGCATATGGCAATTGGTCAGTACCAGTAAATGCTTGTACGATTGGTGTGGTGTTTACATGGGACAGATCAACATTGACACCAGGATTGACCTTTGCTATGTCGTAAAGGTTTAAATATGTAATCATTAGTTCTTGTTTTAGAAGCAAACATAGTGGTTGTCCTATCCCACCAGCGGAACCAATCACGCATACCTTGAAATTATTCTGTGAACAATTTCAATTGGTTTCATAAACTATTAATAGAAAAGAGCTTCAAGACTCATACGATAACTATGTGTAAACACTGTTGTTTATGCCCAGATATTTTCAAAGCTATGAGACATAATGAGCTATAGTAATATCTAGAATAACTATGCCCAACTGAACTACCGCTTTAGTGCAGTGATTGCTCGTTGTCACTAGTGAACTTTTTGAGATGCAATGAAGGCTTTTTGAAGTTTCGGTCTTGCTGATGTATCAGGACCCTTGGCTGAAGGTTTTAATATTAGGTTTCGTACTAAGTATTTGTTGAATTTTCTTCAAACCTGAGTCGCCGTTGAGAATTTCTTCGCTGGATTTTGACATTTCATAGTAAATCTTAAAAAACGTTGAAACATTATGCTAGTTCTGTTTTTTTCCAGTTATGTAATAATTTGAATAATTATGTTTTTTTTACATATCAATTGTGCTTATAAACATTTTTTTTGTTATTATTATTTCCTTAATGGCGGCCACTGTTTAAATAAAACTGTATTTTTTTATGTCACTCTTGATTAACCACTTTCATTTGACTTGCCTGGCATGGTTTGTCAGATTATGCTATCATGCCAGTTTCTAATTAGTGTAGAAAGAAAGATATATGATTTTTTTTACGGAAAATATACACATGCTCGCTTGGCCACAATGTCACGTAGGATGAGGCCTAATGAGCGTAATACTGAGAGTTATGAGCAGCGTTTTTTGAGTTCTATAGTTTACTTGTTCGACTGAAATTCGGTTGGGGCGCCTGACTGTATTTTATTCAGTTGTTTTTAAACGTTTGTACTTGGTGTTTGTGTCAAAAATAGTGTGCATTTATCAAGCATCTACCCGCACAAGTGCGTCACACGGTGCGACGTAAGTTTTTTCTTTTTTCTTATTTGCATTTCACCTCCATCTCACCTGATGGAAAGTGACGGTGAGGCCAACGGTGTAGCATGCACACCTAAACAATGCCTATACACTCTCACCTTGAAAAGGTCCAAGTTTTAGCTTTCGGAGAATTAGATCGCAGGCCAGGAATTCCAGAATTCTAGCCGCTCGCCATATAAACGTCGAAGCGAAACGCTCCGTGCGATTCCTGGGAATATTCGCAACATCGGGGCGGAACTCCAGCCTACGTCTAATCCCCCGATGATGGAGAGGGGAAGGCGGAATGAAATCATGCAATTCCACAGTCGAAAGTCTCATACTCTCTTTTGTAATTGCGCTCGTAAATCGGCACAAAAGTCGTTTTGCGTCCTCGTATAGCGCAAACCGGAATTTAATATGAAATTGAATGCAACGTAAATGAAGCGACTCAAAAAATGCAATTCACAACTCACAAGATTATGCTCATGAAGCCTCACAATAATTGTTAATCTACATTGTCACCGACCCGGTACTCGTTCATCTAAAAATGCCTCTTCGTTCTAATTTAATATAACCTTTAAAAATATGAACATTATTTATTATGTTTGTGAAATGTGATGGAACAAAAGTTCTTGTTTATGATGTTAGTAATAATATAGTCCTGCAAGGTTGTTAGTAATTTAAAAATAACTCTTATTCTTATTTCTTTTGTATTGTATAATATGAAATTTGATGAGTATTTTGACCCGTAAACCTGAAGAGCAAGCCGCAATACCGACGCAACTTATCGCAGGTACTTCCTACGCATTACTCGCACTCACTATGAATTGCTCATATAGTAGACCTACGTCATCGCTTCTCGGTTGTCCGCCTCCCACGAAAAGTCCAATTGTGAGAATTGATTACGTGACTATTTTTAAAGATTATCGATAAAACACAATATATTTCTTTTTCATAGCCCCGCACTAGGAAAACTCTGTGTCGCGGGTGTCATGAACACACACATACGCAATCACAAATGACACCCAAACTCGCGAGAGAAATAAATGCAGGCCATTTAAATATTTCTCCCAAGCCGAGAATCGAACCCGGAACCTCTGCGTGGCAGTCCAGCATGGAGGCAGATAGATGTATGTAGTTTTGTGAAATTTATCTTTTTTGATACTATTTTGAGTGATGGGTCGAACAAGTCGTGCGCCTGGTGGTACGACACGCCTGTCCTTTTAATTGCAGTGCCGCTCAGAGCTTTAAATCGCGAAGATCTAAGATCCACTGCCTCCATTACTCTGTGAGACATAGGTTGAGAAGTTCCATATGGCTGTAATTTAACCAGAACACTACCCTTCAAAATCGGAACGCTGTGATGATCACATTACTGCTTGGCGGCAGAAATAGGTAAGGTGGCAATACTTCCCCGGATGAACTCTTTCACAAAGAGCTCTACTGTTACTAAAGCTTTCTGTTCTAATACACAATATTAACGTGCGATTTTCATAGTTTCACTTAAAATAACAATTTCTTGGGAAATACTCGAGCGAGGTAGTTTATTTTGAGTGTAATGTCAACATTTAATAGTAGGTAGTAATAGAGTGTAATGCAAATGTATATATACAGAAGTTACTTATCACCTGTGTTACATAGAGTAATCATATATCACGACTATAGGTACAAGCGTAGTACACGTAACATACAAGTCAGAGTAGCTTGGAAAAAAAAATCAGTGATGTAACCATATCACTGGTTTTCGAGAATAGTGGCCTAAAAAAATAGTTAACTTTTTGTCATAAGACATAACAGTAGCTAGAATGAGATCTAAATTTTGTTGTGAAAGAGACACTTCAGATTTTTATTGTTTAAAATAGTGACGTGACAACATCGGCCTGTGCACAATTCGTCGACTTTGGCAGTTTAGATATTCTGCAGTTGTTTTTAAACCATCTTCCTGATGAATTATAATAATAATAATAAAGACTTTTATTTCAGAACTTATAAATTCCATATATTGTTAGTAAAAAAGAACTTAAAACACACTATGTTAGTACTTACAGGTCAATAATACAGATTAGATATAATAGATATAATTGAATAATAGAGAATTAGGTGATATTGAGATACGCTCAAGACATAATATGTTTCATGTCTTTTTAAATTAGTTTTTTTTTATTAAAATGTGTTTAGAATATTTCTTTTTTATTATTATTTTTTGCATAGACCTGCGCTAGGGAAACTCTGTATCGCGGATGCCATGAACCCATATATATACAATCACATATAACACCAGAAGTAACGGGAAAATAAAATGTTGGCCATACAAATATTTCTCCCGGTCCGAGAATCGAACCCGGCACCTCTGCGAGGCAGTCTAACATAGTAACAGTTCAGCGACTGAGGCAGTTATTTGGATTATATCTCCAGAATTGTCGTCAAATTCTACAAAACAGATAATTATAACTTTTTATAACAGAAACCCGACTTCAAAAGTTTGCTTATGCACTTTCGCTGTATTCGTTACATCTACATGAAAAGTTTTATTGAAATCGGTTAACGGACAGTGGGCGAAATCTAATAAACCAGATTCATCCCTAAATTTGATACCCTTAGAGGTGGAATATTTTCTTAAATTTGTATAGAACCACTACCTTTTTCTAACAAAATCAGAGTCTTCAGAAATTATTATGGAAGGTGTAAATACATTTTCATAATTCACCATCATTATCAAACTTAAGAGTTATACTCTTGTCGGTGGAGCACCTTAGAATCATCTCTCTTATAAGAGAGCTTCTAGACCTAATTATAAGACACGACACCAGCCTTTTCCTTTATTTTGTCTATGTAACTGTGCCTAGGTCTACCTCTTCCCCTCTTCCCCTCGATCTTTCCCTCCAAAATGGTCTTAAACAAGTTTTCATGTCGTATCAAATGTCCTAATCTATAGTATTTTTGTATACTCATACAAAAATACCCTTAAGTTACTCTATTACAGATTCCCAAACACAGATTTCATAAATAAATAGGTACTTATTTGCGCAATGAATTTCTTACACGTTAAGAATATATATATAAGATTATTGCACGTTAAGTTATTTCTACAGCTATGCCTTTTAAGTTGATTCCTTTTTATTACTGTTTGGGCACAAAGTCCTCGAATGGATCTAAACAATAAATGTATCACGTACAAGTCATAAGGTTTACTTTGGGGTTAGATGATGATGCCTATAACTTCATGGTATTCTTCGTTATTATTTCTGGTCACGAAACACGGAAATGAGAAATACGTTGCGGTAAATAAAAGAATGACACTTTACAAAAAGTGCGTAATAACTTAGTATGAAGAATTGGTACTAGTACAGTTCATTTTGCTTGGGATACTGCCTTTATTTCAGATTTTTTTTTTTCAATCGATGGTGGAGCTATTTGAAAAATGTGTATATTATACTATATGTGTTCTAGTTAGTTCAGTTGATATGATATGAAAAAAAAAAGTTGGTAAAATTAAAGTATCTATTGAATACATCGGTTTTCTTGTAAAATTTTGAGGTAAGTTTGTTTTTTTTTCTATTGTGAAAATATTTAGGAATCGTATTTTCACACCTCAATTTTAATATATATTTTTTCCAAAGAGATTGATTCAACATTTTCACTCTTATGCGGAATCCACCAAAGCCATTTGAGGTTGTGTAGACTCCTAACAATGGAAATTTAAAACACGTTCACCGTGGTATGAGTTTTGCAACGCCACGTACGTAACGTGACCTCTCGGTAGACGTAAAATGATAAACAGAAATTGACGTCTTAAGCTAGGGTCACAAAACATATTTGAAAAATTAATTTATAATTATTAACACAAAGATAGAACAGTAAGAAAAAATGCCTTTGATCCGGCTGGATTCGAACCAACGTCTTCCAGCAAACCTGGCAGACGCTATGAATGACCATACATAAGTTGACAAGTTCCACGTGTCTGTAATTTTCTTACATTATTACTACTGTATGGCATAAGAAATAAGTAAGGGCAGTATATTCCTCGACGAAGTTTTTCACAGGGACCTCTAATAACAATTTAAATAGAATTTAAGAGAAAAACGTTACAGTACGAGTTTTAATAATAATAAACAAACCCTTAATTAATACACCGGTTCGCTGTAATGAAAAACATTGATATAGTCATAACGCTCTGGTGGCTCTGGTTGCGTAGAAGTTATGGATTGGATATCGGTTCTAACAACAAATATCTCTTTGATCATCTATTTTGTACGATCAAAAACCGATTGGATTATTGGATTTGATTGGTTTGCACATAATAACTATGCCTTATCAAATACTATTTTTTGTATGTACTTATGACTCATTTCTAGGTATTCCATATAAATAAATATAGCTATTATACAGGGTTATTTTTAAAATACTAACAACCTCGCAAGACTATATTACTACCATTATAAGCAACAACTTTAGTTCTATGACTTTTTACAAAACGTAATTAATTTACCAAAAATAAACTTTTAACTTTTTGTAGTGCTAGCTGACGTTTTTTAGGTCCATATTTGGTAGTAAAGCAGTAAGTTCTAACGAAGAAGCGTCCTCTCCGACGACTCCCGTTTTGCACAGAATTATGACC